ATCTTAGTATGTGGAGATATGTTCATACTATGGATTTATAATAAATAATTATCTTTTTCTACCTTCAGTCTGAAAATGTTTTCCTTCTTAACACTACTTGTGTCAGAAATAAGTGTTATGATATAGTGCAAGTCATCTATAGCATCACTGATTTTTACATCAAGGCTGTTCACTTTTACCAAAACAGACTCTAAACTGGCACCATTTTTTTTTTTTCTGGAGGCATATTGTTTCAAACTCCTTTTTTTGTGAAAGATCATATGAAAATTTGCAGTTAATGACTTGCAACATGTTGACATCTATGCTTGAGGATATTTGCTGTATGCTATTTTAGTCTAGTTCTGGATTTTCCCACAGCAGCAAAATCCTTGTATGTCTAAATTATAACATCTAGTGACTCTTCGGATTTTCCTGTTTGCAGTGTTCAATTGCCATGACAGCAGCATTGACCAGGATGATAGAATGTGAACATTTGCCTCTGGGATACTCTTTGACCTGTAGGGTCATAACTGAAGACCAAATCTGCTTGGGAGCTCTTGTCTTCTATGTAACAAGCTCAAAATTGTAACTTGCTAGCAAATATGTTTAATATGCAGAGCCAGAACCATGAATGTGGGTAAGGAGGGAACACACTCATAAGAGAACAGGCTTCAGGTTTCTTCCATTTACATCAGAAAAAATATTGGAGACCTTCTTTAAGGCAGCTGGAAAAGACTTACTCATCATCTGCCAAAAAAGGCACTTGAAAAAAAAAAACTGTTTTCTGGGTGTTGTGGGGTTTTTGTTTTCTTGGTTTGTTTGTTTGTGGTTTTTTGATATTATTTTTTGTTGTTGTTGTTTAAAGTAATTCCTTGAACCCTCATAACAACAAAAAGAAATTGATGTTAGTCAGTACAGCAACTCTTGAGAGGAAAGCTAAAGCTGTAGGGACTTGCCAACACCTGTCTAGTTATAAATACTCTTGTAAACTGATGCTAGAAGTCAAGGAAAATCCAAGGGGAAAAAAAAAAAAAAAGAAAAGATATGGGCTAGGAATGTTCATGGATCTGTTAAAATGAAATGTAGTCCTCAGATCTATGATGCTATCTTTCACCATTGCATCAAGGCTAACTCTAAGTTGATAAACTAAATTGTTTGAAGCACAAAGTGTTAGCAGCAAATGAAGATGAATAAATACATCCACTGTCAGCTTCTTTCCATGATTTGTGGGGGAATGTCTTGCAGCAGCAGCTCGAAACTCCAGCATCACATGGCAAAATCCTCTGAAATTAAAGCAAACAACTATATGTTGGTTTAGCTGTGTGAAGATAAGGTGGAAAATTCGGAGGAATAGGAGTATACCATCCTATTTTTGTGAGATCCCTCAAGACCTTTCACTTCAGTTTGATTTTTGAGAACATCTCATGTTTCTGCATTACTGTACTTCAGAGTAGCCTTCCCTTCTCCAAAGAGCTGCAGGGCCTTGCAGAGAAGCAGCAGTTTCTCTTTGAAATATGGCCAGTAGAGAAATGCTATTGGTAGCCCTTCAAAAAGAGATGAATTCCTCTTCAAGCCCAACTATGTTATTTCTCAGCAACGATAGAAGAGAATTCTTTGAAAATAGCTGAGATCGCCTGCAGAGATGTTGCTCACCAGGTTAGAAATGCTATTTGTTAGTTGTGGAGTGGGAAAGCCTGTGGTGGAAATGCCACCAAAGATCAGAGTCGTGTTGTGCTAATTGATGTTGAAATAGGCTCTGGTTCAGAACTATGTACTAGAGGTGTTTGAGTCATTCCCTATCCTATCGAGATAGTTTGGGTATATTTGTTCCTGACCTTCAGTAGCTAGCAAAGTAAATAGCATGGCCTGAGTGTGTTTTCCTGGTAGAATTCCTGCTAGAATTTCTTTTGTGAATGTTAGCATGCAGTTACAGTTATTTGTTTAAACTCAAAATAGACAACGAAGCCTTTTTCATCATCACTTCTAAGATCTATGAATGTGTCTTTATATCTTCCAAATGAATAATAATAGATATTAATGTTACTGGAAAAAAACCTTTCGCCCCAGATCCTGTGCATATTCTAAATAGGACCTTTAAAACTGTTCTAATATCTGAGAAGTCTGATCACTGAATATCTGATTTTGCTGTCAAATGTACTGTTGCACATCAATTAAGTGATTTATATCTTTAAGCCATAAGACATTCAGGGTATTGCCCTTTTTTTCTTCTCTTGGAGGAAAAAACTACTGAAGAACTTAAATGAAAATAATTTAAGAATATTTTTTTCTTCTCTGCCTAATTCTAGAATTCTATTTTTGGTTAAGTGTTTTCAGTGGTTAAGCATGAAAAATCCCATAGTGGAAATGAGTTTGCTGTGTTTCTTATTTTTATCTGATTTTTAAAAGCTTCTCTCTTTCCTGGTTCTGTGAAAGAAACTAGGAAAAATGTAATTTCTTTTATTGAAACATGTAAAGAAATATTGCTCATTTAACATATTTTTCTGGGTACATTGCAGGTCACTAGGAAGTAGTACAGTATTTTTGGAGATTGTTTTTGTTCTACCAATTGTGGCCTGCAAAACAAGCTTGCAAATATTCTAGTCTGTTTTGAGAATTCATTGTATTTGTGTGTATGGCTTGGGTATGGTTTGGTTTTTGTTGTTGGAACACAGAACCAATCTTATACATAGTATTTGAATCTGGTAGTTATATATGTATTTATTTTTATTTTACATTTCATGCAGATATCCAAAGAAATGTGACAATGGGTCTGTGTTTTTTCTGTCAATATAGTTCTTTGCAAGCTGTAGTGTGTAATGAGTTTTTAAGTGGAACTCTGCTCAGAATTAGCAGGGTAGTCTACTTAAAATCAGTGTCACAGGATAGTCCTGTGTATTTGCATACCTTAATTATATAATTAATTGTGCATCTTATTACATGATTACATGCCTTAAATGTGTAATTACAACTACTTATGCTAACTGCATGACCAAAAGCATGAAATTAGAGTGTATAATTTCAGTATATACAGTAGTTGAACAAGTGTGATTTAGCTCTTTTTGTACTAAATACGACTTTAAATAAGAGATTCCGCATTTTACATAATATTCTCTAAAGATTATTACCAAGAAGCTGATAACAAAAAAGCAAAAAAAAGCCTCACTTTTCTTTATTTGGTACAAACGTGTGTCTTGACTTTTATCCTGCATACACTACCAAGACAAAACCCAATACCTTTTGTAAGACGGTGACCCCAAAGAGTCATCTTAACTAAAACAGTCATGCAAAATTAAACTTTTCTGATCTTTACATATAGTATAAATTTTTAAATCCATGAAATTTTTTATCTGTTGGGCATATGTTCTGATGCTGAAAGTCAGGGGTGCTAGGATCAAATGGAATGAGAGTAACATCAAGGTAAAATGAATCATCTGCTTTAGGAGAGTGGAAGTTAATTGTGCAGGTCAAATAAACTCAGTATTTCCTACCCCTATATTATAAGTAGCGGCTAATTTAAAGGCGTTTCACAGTCACACCAAAATAACATGATATCCACACTGATTATTTACAGATGCTGGAGGTCATGCCTGACAATTCCTTTAAGCAACTAGTGACTATACATGCTACACCAAATTACCATGGTGAATTAACAGATAACCTGGAGGGAGAAGAGGAAGGAAAAGGGAATTACACTTGAAACCCCTTTACTTTCTGGAAGCTGTTTCTCACCCTGGATTTTGTTTCAGATAGGTTTTAATTTGTAAGAAACCCTTGTAACTGCTCACGCCATCCTTTGTATTTCCCCTTAACACTGAGATACTGGTGCATTCACAGATTTGTGTCTGCAGAAAGTACTCTAGGTTGGTATTTTCCCACCGTGGAGCAGGTTGCTGTTATAGAAGAGTTTTGTCCAGGGATTTTCAAATAGTAAGCTCAGTCATAAAGTCCACCCTTGCTACCTGTCTGATCTATTGCAAAATGGTTCACTGATTCCTCAGTTTGGCTTTACAAATATTTTAAGATTAAGACATAGATGATGTTTTGCTAACTACAGTGTTTAAAGATAGGTGAAGCAAATGGGTTATTTTATGGGTCGATTAACTTTGCTGCTACTGGCAATTTTCAGAGGAGTCTGCATAAAGAAAAAGCTTTTTTTAAGGGGTTTTCTCCAGATATAGAGTGTGTCTTCTGGACTACAATGTTTTTGTTATCTTGAGCACTTTATTTTTCTATGCCACAGTTTTTGATGTGCACAAAGATACAATATGCTTTTCTGTAATGCAGAAGTGTTGTAAGGACACTGGAGATTGCACAACCCAGTAGGAACTGTGTGAATACCTTTTATAGGTAGGGATGAAATAGGGGAGATTGCTAAGGGTGAAACAAGTGTTCCTTCTCTTTGTTCACAAAATCGGAGGTGGCTGCTGTTCCTGTGTGAAGCAGTAATAGGTTGTTATATTCTCTCTTCAGGCAGCTGCTCCCAGCCTTACCTCCTGCTGTTGAGAAAGACAGCTACTCACAGCAGGGACAGACCTACCCAGGGAGAAAGGGACAGGTCTGGAGCCCCCAAATGGCAAAAATCAGTTTAACAAAAAAGACCAAATTGGTCATTTATTTCACCAGGGCCAATGCCTTGCTGCAAGAAAAAGGTCATCAGGAAAATGGTGCCTGCTGTTCTTTAGATCTGAAATGTTCCTTTGTTTCTCAGCCCTGTGTGAGTGGATCTGTTTGTGTCTGCTCTCTTCTGATTGAGAATCATGTTATAGAAGATATTTCCCATTTTTGTCCAAACCCAAGATGATAGTAGCAAATAGTAGAGCCTCTCCAAGTCCCACATCTTCAGAATGCATTAGTGATGTGGTTTATATATCATGACAGTAATGGAGAGGTTAGATATCAAAACGATTACAGAACCAATTGTGCCATATTCAGGAAGGCAACTGCTGAACTTCAAATAGAACTTCAGGTTAAAAGATCTCTGGGTTAAAGATTTCTTCTTTTTTTTTCTCATTGTTGTCCAGTTGTTTGCAGAGTTTTGGTCTCTGAAGTAGGAGCTATTCTTAGAACATCTGCTACAATTCATTGATGACCTTGGGAAAAGGTAAGCATGGATTTTCTAGAAGAGCTATAACCACCTTCAGCCAGTATGTCTGTGTTGACTATGGTATTATTTCAGAGGCAGGAAAGCAGAAGCACAGGCAGCAGGAATGTCAAAGGCATTATAGGAAGTTAAGATTATTAACTCCTTGGACATTTTTTTATTTGGGAAATTCGCATTTTTCCATTTGGAAAAGTGATTTTCCTCAAGTGTTATAGTGAGCCCCTGGGAAAATTAGGTGTAAATGGTTTTGGATCTTTATAGGAGAAATGTTGTGGGTGAAGTATGTGGGCCTACTGTACTGGTCTTGTCACCACATAGATATGTTTCAGTTCTTTTAGAAGACACATAGTCACATTTCATTTTTTTGTAATATCCATCAAGTTTCTCCTGGAACTCATTGCATGCAAGGAAATACTATGCCCTTGCGTTTTTTGGGCATCACAAGTTTTGTTTAAGAAAGACTTTTAGTTAACCTTAAAAACTATGCTTGTTTTGAGTAGGCAAATGTAAGGCTATACTAGGGTAGGGTTTTTTCTGTTTAAAGAAATGCAGGTTGCCTAATCACCCTCAAACTTTAAGAGAAAAATATTCTGTAGGGATTTATGGCCACATGTGGGAGTCTTCTGATATACTGGAAATTTTTGTAACAAAGCCAGGGCTTGCAAATGGATGCCAGGATTAAAAAGGAAAAACTGTTCTATGACTTACAGACTCTTACAGTTCCACAGATTTGATAATAGACTTTACACTTGTGGAAACTTGTGCTACTTTGTTCCTATTCTGTATTCTAAAAACACTTGCAGATGAGAATATCAGTTTACAATTTCAAAACAAACATGCACAGAAGCCTTTTTCCTCCTTCTGTGGTATTTTTGTACATATTTCCATGGTGACATTTAAATCCTCTTTGTCCATCATTAGTATTCCTGTTATTCTTATGTTTACAAATACTGTTAAACACCTTTTGGGGAACATGCTACAGGTTCCCAGGATGGTTTACATACTTGATGAATAAAACCCCCCACTGAAACATGGGTGTTTTAGGCTTGTAATAGAATCTCTGCTTTACTTACACCGTTGCTTTCTAGGAGACCGCAAAGTCCTTTCCCATCTGCAGTAAAGCTGACTTGTGACTACGATTACAAAATGTGAAAAACTTAATATTACAAAGTAAGAAATAAATGAAAATAAGAGCAATAAGCCAAACAAGAAGACTGGGAAATGTACTTGCCACACGCTAAGCTTTGTAGAAGGTACCTGAGTGGATTAAGGCACTTATAATTGCTTGACACTGGAAATCTCCATCTCAGGTTTAAAAAAAAAAGAAAAGAAGATTTGGAAATTTTTATAACATTGAATTTATCCGTTAATTAGAGTGTGAGCTGTGTGGTCCAGTAGTTAAAGCCAAGGGCTTGGCAATAAGAAGATCATGGTGTTCTTATTATGCAGCTTGGATAATTTTCCATTGTCTTTTATTATTTGTTTGTTTTACTCACAGTAGATGCTCTCAAATGTCAAAATCAGATTTAAACTTTGAGCTATAATTCTACATGAAACCTCTCTATGGAGAACTTATGTAAATTTTGTTTGTGTTCTTTATTTTCCCTTTTTTTGTGCTCCCTTACTCTGGTATTTTAATTATAATGCATGTACGGGTTCTCAGAACAGAGAACAGAGCTGATCTCCCTCTGTGCACAGGAAGAAATGGTCTTTGCTCTGATGGTTCTGAATTTCCCAATGACCTGTTACTTGAACAGTTCATTTGGAGAAGCCCTATTTTCCTTGTTTGTTTTAGTCTGAGTACCTCTTACCAGTATTATCAGAAGGAAGGGCTTTGTCATGCTGCCATAAATCTGAAGACTATGTAGTCTGTACCTAGTCTGTCTTAGTGTGCTCTCTCAACCCTATGTATCTGTTCTTTTCCAGTGCACTTGAAGACAGGGAGAACATTCTCCTAGTTCCCTACTGTCATTGCTGGCCAGAAGGTAAAGGGAGACAAGCATTTAGGTAATGAATTTTAAGACCTTCCACAGAGTCAGAAGTTCAATGCCTTCCTGGCCAACTTAGGGGATCATGAGAAAGGGATCATGAGATCTGTGTGTATTGTTGAGGGACCTCCTGAGTTGTACTGAATTCTGAATGCTGCAGCCCCCAAAACATTGTGCATCTTCCTGCTAAGACAAAGCATGAAGTTCACACTGCTGTCTTTCTGTTGAGAAATGAATTGATATGAGTGCACACAGAATTACACCACTACCAACCTACTCTCCGTGGTCTTGAACCTTCATCATTTTTTGCATATTAACCCTTTTTTAACATGAAGCAGGATTGGGCAAGAGGACTTGTCTTTTTCCTGTTTTGAGAGAACATCCTGTTTGTGAAGACCCTTCTTCATGGAAATCAAAATTGATAATAAATTCTGCTGTGTCTCACAGAGGAGAACTTTGCCTGAATTCAGTGACACTTCGGTTTCCTTGTTCAGGAAGTGTTGATGAAGAACATAGTGGGACATGAGAGTTGAGGACAGCCAGAAGAAGGGGTGGAATACGCCCAAGTAATTTATAAGTGCAGGTACTATGCTTGACATCAAGAACTGTGTAAGGACATTAAGTATTGTTATTATCGTCATCACATAATGTAGGTCGAATAATAGGTCAGAGAAGCGGTATGTCCACAGATACTCTATACAGAGTGCCACGGTTAGCTGGCTCCAAGAACACACAGTACTGTTCCAATTAATTGACAGAATAGCTTGATACTTCACAGGTTGGAGCAGTCAGATCATTCTAAGGCTTTGATTATCTTCCCTCCTACACAGAATGTTTAATTTCAAACTTAATTGTATCCACATTTCCGTTTCTAATTTATCCAGATATAGAAATGCTATAGTAACCGAACAGCATGTCCTTTGAGGAAATAAAGTGTGGCACAATCCCGTGGCACCAGAGCAATCTGATTAAAGAGATGTTTATGTAGCATAGTCTTTATAAGTTAACTAATTTCCCATGTGCTTACTGTTCTTGTGGTGCACTTTACTTCTAAAGAAGAGATGAGAAACTGTTTATCTTGCTTGTTTTATGCTTTGGGATTTCCACTGTTTCCAGTTTGTCATGGAATTTATGGAGGTAACTGAAAAGTAAGTCAGCTGCTTCATTGCGTATACTTCTGCTCAAGGCAAGGATCCAATTTTTAGGAGGAAATTTCCACCACTGGTGTCTGCTCAAGGGATTAAATGCACTGATTTTCACACAGTTAACAAGGTGCACCTCTGTAATCTGTAGTATGCAGTTCTGAGAGGGTTCCCGTAGGTGGTCAGTATTTACAAGAAAGTCAGAATGACCTGTAAGAGACTAGGGACTAATTTTTCACCTATGATTTTGTGTATGGAGCTGAAGGACTGCAAGTACTCCAAGGCAGTGCCAAGATTTCCATTTATCTGAATCACACTGAAACTCAAAGATCTATCAGAGTGCTATATGTGACTGACCTCTGCCCCTGGTGTGGTGATTTTGTTGCTGCTGTACAAATATATAACCTTAAAAAATCCAAAACTTGGGAGAAACACATTGTTGAAATAGCTCTGAATATTTCTTTTCATCTGAAAGAAAACCTTCTTTAACCAGTAAGTGGAATTACTTGGTTTGGTCTGATCTTATATCTGGAACTGCTGCACATGAACGGGTTTTGATGGATAGTTGCATAATTGATATTTTTGGAATTGATTTGGAAGTTCTGACAATGAGGATCTACCAGTGTTTTCATAGGAGGAAAATGGAAAAACCACAATGCTGACACAATTTTAGTAACACCAAAATGAAACAAACCACAGTTGGACCTTTAATATGGTATCTGGGTTGGAGTTAATCTAATGTTTAGATTCTCATTGGTGGAGAGTGAGTGTGCTGAGGAAACCTTGTTCATAAACTGTCTCTGAGGGATCCTCTGTTATGACTTGATACAAAGCTAAGAAATAGTTGTATTTGGTTTTTTTTTTATCAGTCTCTGAGAAAAGAGCTTGTGTATCTCCTTTCTAGCTGAAAGCCTTAGTCCTGGTGACATCCAGCTGAGTAAGAGCGAGCATTTATCAACAGGAAAGTTGATGAATTGATAAATACAATGAGAAGTTTCATTCATTGAAACATCTTTATGCAAAAAAAAAAAAGTGCCTCTGAGAAATGGTTAGAACTCTTGAAAATTGTCAGCTTGTACTTTCAACTTGTAAACCAGACTTAAAGCTGTTTACTAAGAAGAGAGCACCACCTGGTGTTGGTAAGTCACTACACCTTGTAAGGGCTTATGTGGATGTTGTCTCGTACAGATGAATTGAAGAATAAAAATGTACTTTGTTTTTTCCTCATGTAGTGCTTTTGTGCTTGTGTTGTAGAAAGTCAAGAAAGAAAAAAGTTCAAAGTGCAGCGGTTAAGAGCTGGATAGATGATGTGATGGTCAGAATGGACGTGTGAGCAGATGAGAGTTCATGACAAGGTTTACTCTGCGTGGAGATTCTTATACAAAATTCAGACTCTTATGCAAAATTCGAGTTTGTGGGATCTGATGGTCTTCAGAAAAGATTTTTAATTAAATAAAATTAGAGTATCTGCAGTACCTGTTTTGAGAGGTAACAAAATGAATGCACGTCTCTCATAAGCAGTAATGAGGAGGACTATTTTGCTGTTTGCTGCGTATGTACACGGAGTAATATCTCCCAGGGTCCAAGGGCTTTGCCAACGTCTTCATCAAATCAGATATGTAGAACTTGAATTTATCCTTCGTAATTAGGATGATTATCTCTTCAGAGCCACAAATACTCATTTGAGAGTATTTTACCATAAATTTCTACTGAAACTTTCTTTTTTCATCCTGTGTTGATTTAGGGTTCCAGTAGTATATGCTGGGAGAACCTATTTCATAGATTGACTGTTTGCAGTTAATGTATATTATAATTTTGTGTTTCTGAAAAGTAAAACTATATGTAAGACTATATGTATTCTCATAAGGGTGGGATTAATTTGAGACATTACTTAATGTGCAAATAAATTTCTGGTTGCATAACTCAGAATTATAATATAGCAGAGAAGGTTGTTTTGCATCAAAGAAAAGTTTTAAATGTATAAGTAAATGCAGGTTCTACATTAAGTTCTTCTGCAGTCTTTTGCTGTGATATTGAGAAAAATAAATAGCAGGCAATTTTGTGGTATTGAAGTCAAAAGCTAAGCAACTGGGAATCACATTTCAGCATCTTTTAAATAATCTTTTAAAAAGGAGATTTTGGGTGTATTTAACTTGACTGAAGAAAAAAACCTCTAAACAAACAACCTGGCTTATTCTAATTTATTCTTTATTACCAAAAGAAACCCCAAACAAACAAACAACAAAAAAATATTAATCTCTGCTGACACAGGAATAATACAGATATATTGCATATTATCTGAATCTTATTGAACAAGCTAGGGAAGTGTTCCCAGAAATATTTTGTTAAGGCATTGAATAAAGGTGACATGCCTGAGAATGTAAACTTTGGAGAACTTTCTAGTTGCTTGACCATGGATGCATTTCATCTTACTTACCAATCTTCAGTTAATCAATCTAAATGCAGGCGATGTTTTTGCATTGTTATTTAGGCTTCATTTCTTTTATACTTGTTGTGAACAAGACAAGGAAGAGTCCGAAATCTCTTTTATTTTCTTTTATACAGATATAAATTGATCACATTCCATTTTTTTTTTTTTTGTGAAGCAGAATGTTCTCACAGCCAAACCAACAGGATAAGGTGTTTGGTTTGGTTTGGTTTTTTTTTTTTAGAGGGTGTCTGTGTGTGTGATGATGAACATTTCAGCAACCTCATTTACAATTTACTATTTGACCTTAAGCATAACATTCTCATTTTGTATGGATAAGCTTCCCTTTTTCTGAAGCCCTTTTACAGATGGACCTGTGTTCTGATTAGGAACTTCTTTCCAAGGAATTTAGATCTTCCGTCAAGGAAATGAGTCTGAAGAAAAGGATCACTATATGATGGAGCCAGTGGAAAACAAAAAAATAAATCTCTGCATTTCCAGGTTTGAACACAAATGTCTGACTCTGAACTGAAATTAGATTGTAAGTCAGAAAACAGAAAAACATGGAAAAATAAGACTTTGCGGAAAAGGAACTGAAAAAAGCAAAGGGAATTTTAATGCATTTGCATTAAACTATTCCACTATCAGTAGAACAAATATATATAGTCTGAATGAAAAACACACAAATCTTCTGCTTCCAAGAACTATGCTAGAGATGTAGATATTTAAGCTCTAACATACTTTTCAAATACTTCAAAAGAACTGCAAAGCTTCAAAATTAACTATTTGATCTCAGAAGCAAAGGCATGATATATAACATGGTGCCTAGCAGTGCATACTGTGTGCATAGAGAGTCTGGATCTGTATACAGTTACGCAACTCTCGCTTTGAGTATCTGCCCTGAACCGTATAAACTAACCACAGTGGTTGTCAGTCTACATGTGTGTTCCCTGCTGTTCCCAGAATCCCAGCATGTGTTCCCAACATGTGTTCCCAGAATATCCCAGCTGTATACTATCAGTTCTGCTCTGAATCCTTTGTCATACATCAGATAGAACGTGTTTTCCCACCATGGAGGCACGGTAGATTGATGCTTTTGGCAAAAAGAGACTGAGATGCTGCAGGTTTGAATGAGAATTCTTAGTTAGTTCTGGGGCCTGACTTGAAGATATCAGGGCTGCATCTTTAAAAGTGCAGGAAATTTAAGTGTCTTATACAAAACATCATCTCAGAAAAGTGCATTTGAATGTCCATAGATGCCTATTTTCAGAGAAGTAGTTGGAGTGGAATTGAATTAGTAAGATTGGTTTAGGTCAAAAACTTGTGAAGAACCAGCGTATAAGAAAACATTTCAATGCCAGTATTTTGTAATTATTTTATATCAAAAGTAGATGGTTTCCATTAAAAAATTCCTAATTTTTCTTGTTTGTTTTAGTGCTAGAGTACCTCTAGTGCTTTAGAGTTCGATATTGTTGACAGGGAAAGATGAGAAATTGCAAGAATAATCTTGGTAATAGAGCATCTCTCTTATGCTGAAGAACTGTTTACAGTTATACAGTGAGTGACATAAAAATCCAACCATAATTATGTACATGTTCAGATGTTTGTTAGGATACTGAGACAGTATTCTGTTAGCAGGGAAACTAGAAGAGATGCAGTAAAAAGCTGATTAGCTTTGAATACTGTAAGAGGCCATTGTATAAGTGTGTCTGGTAAAAAAGGCTGAACAAAGGTCTACTGCCTTGGACTTAAAAGAAAATCCAAACCATAAACCCCTATGTTTATATGTATATTTATATGTATATTTATATGTATATGAATTGAAATGAAGATATATTTTCTCCCAAGAAGCAAAATAAGTTATAATGCTGTTTTGTTTCCTGACGTTTGTCATCAGCAGTTCTTTCCAGTGTGAGAAGTATGAATAGTGCATATGGAAGATGAACTTTTCCAATTAGAGCATATGGATATTCACTGAAGGGTAAAAAAAAATTTTCATTAGCTACACCTATCTCAAGTTTCCTTTTTAAAAGACTTCTCAGATCTAAGATGGTCAGAGTCTGAATGGGAGTGTAGCCAGGCGGCTACAGCATTTCTGCGTCATGTAGGAGATGGGGGTTCATTTTCTGTTCATAGGAGAAGGGAGCATTGAGGGTGCTGACCTGCAGCCTCCCTGGGGAATGCCTCCTCTAACTTTGTCTTCTTGTCTCCCACCCTGCTTTGGTCTGATGGTAAATCTATTTTGTCAGGAAAAAGCACTGTGAAGACCCAGTATGGAGGAAGAAAATGTTTTGAGGAAAAAAAAAAGTGAAATCTAGGGGAGAAAAATGTTCTTCCCATGCACCTCTGCTTAGAATGTCTTCCACTACTTAATTTTATGACATAAGTAAACCAGGAATGTAAGCAACAGGTAAGACCTTCCTTGTATGGAATTGTGTATATCCTCTTCATTGCAGAGACATGCTAAACAAACCAAGAAACATGAAGCTTCTTCCCAGTGGTAACTGCTGTCTTTTTACAGTTGTCCCAGCTTGTGTTCATGAGATAGCACAGCTAGGGAGATATCTGGAATTTCTGGGATTTATTTCTGATCAAAGCTGTGCACAGAGCTTACTGAGCAAAGATGAGAAAAATTACATTGTCTGGTGAACAAAAGAACACTTCGAAGAGTATCCCCCGGGAAAGCTCGTGCTGATGGAGCGCGTTGCCTGGACTGCTCTCCCAGCTTGACATGCTCGCCACATGGAGCTGCGAGGTGGGATCTCCCCCCTACACTGCTCCATGAAGGGAAGAACTGCTTCTGGTGTCCCCAGGCTGCATTTGCCATGCAGAGCATGGGAGAACTCAGCTATGTGCTCCCCAGGTTCCTTTGCCCTCGTGTCTCAGCAGGGAGGGAGCTGTTGTGCTGCTTGGTGACAGTCTAGGGCTGGTCAGGTTGGTGATGAGTTTGTTCTTCCCCTCCTTTATCCTATGCCTGTTCTTACATTTTTTGGGTCAGGAAAACAGTTTAATTTTGTGCTCCCTCTGCAACCCTCCACTGCAATCACTGCTATGGCACTCATCTCGCCTCTGGACTTTTAAAGTTTCTATTAGGGATGATATTAAGTAAGTATGAAGTTTACATTAAAAATACAAATACCTTGTGGCAGGTATTTGGTCCCAAGGGTTGTCTTTCATCCCAGGGCTTTTATCCAACTGGCTCCTTCCCAGAAAGAAAACCTTTCCTGTTTTAGCAGTATGTGTTTTCTTACCTGTTGTTGCTTGCAATGCTTCATTTTAACTGTATGTCAGGGCTCACACTGAGGGTCTGCCCTTTAGGGAACAGCAGTAAATACATAGTTTTGAGGTTATGTCAAGAATTATCTCAGTGTTATCTGGCTTAGTTTGTCCTGCTAAACAAGGATCTCTTTTGACTCTCCCAGCTAATCAGAATTTCTCACTTCCTTTCAATATTCTTTCTTCTCGTTCCTGCCTACTGTTTTCCTTTGTTTTCTCTGCCTTTACCTTTCAGCCCTCATGCATCCAGGTCTTATATTGAGTCTCAGAGACCAGACATGTAGTGGACCTTTATTTCCTTCCACCAAGGCACAACAGATCCAGGTGTTATAACTCAAAGTGCATCCTAGCTTGTGCTTCTGAAAGTTGCTGAAGTAAACAGCACCTGCAATATTTTATGATGCGGGTGATGGGAGTTCTTTTCTGTCTTGACTACCATAGTCTTTCAAGGAATGAAACTTGTTTGGAGTGGAAAAAGA